CTGTTACTCCTCGTGAAGGAACATAGGCCGCTCACCAGCATTCGCCATCCAACTCTGTCCTGGGCAATCCTTTTTAGCTCTGTCCAGTTGCAATTCATAGTTTTCATATCTGCTTCTATTTCCCGACCTAATGTGTTCTTTGGCCTTCCATGTTTCCGTTTCCATTCAGGATCCCAAGTTAGGGCTTGCCTCGTGATGCAGTTTGACGATTTGCGTAATGTATGTCCTATCCATTTCCATCGACTTTTCCCAATTTCTTCTTCAGCTGGAAGTTGGTTTGTTCTCTCCCACAGAAGGCTATTGCTGATGGTATCCGGCCAATGGATGTTGAGTATCTTGCGTAGACAACTAATTATAAATACTTGTACTTTCTTGATTGTGGTTGTTGTAGTTCTCCAAATTTCAGCTCCATACAGTGGAACTGCCTTGACGTTCATATTGAAGATTCTCACTTTGATATTGGTTGAAAGTTGTTTTGAATCCCATATGTTCTTCAATCGTAGGAATGCGACCCTTGCTTTGCCGATCGTCGCCTTTACGTCTGCATCGGATCCTCCTTGTTCATCGATGATGCTTCCCAGGTATGTGAAGGACTCTACATCTTCCAGAGTTTCGCCATCAAGTGTGATTGGATTGCTGTTCTCCGCTTTGAATTTGAGGACCTTGGTTTTCCCTTTGTAAATGCTGAGGCCTACTGATGCAGAGACTGGTGCTACACTGGCTGTCTTTATCTGCATCTGTTCGTGTGTATGCGATAGGAGGGCTAGGTCATCTGCAAAGTCCAAATCGTCTAATTGATTTTGAGCTGTCCATTGTATTCCGTTTTTTCCCTCAGATGTCGAGGTCTTCATAATCCAGTCGACCACCAGAAGAAAGAGGAAGGGAGAGAGTAAGCAGCCTTGTCTGACTCCGGTCCTTACTTGGAATACATTTGTCAGCTGTCATCCATGCACGATTGTGCACTGTAGTCCGTCATATGAGTTCCGGATAATATTGACAATCTTCTCAGAAACTCCGTAGTGTCGAAGAAGTTTCAATAACGTCCTCCTATCTACAGTGTCGAATGCCTTTACATAATCAATGAAGTTGATGTACAGTGTTGAGTTCCATTCAATTGATTGTTCGACGATGATCCGTAGTGTCGCAATTTGGTCAGTGCACGACCCATCCCTACGGAATCCAGTTTGCTGATCTCGGAGTTGGGCGTCTACTGCATCTTTCATCCGGTTCAGCAAAACTCTGCTAAAGACTTTTCTCGGTACTGACAGTAGTGTAATGCCTCTGTAGTTTTCACATTTGCTCAGGTCTCCTTTCTTTGGAATCTTGATGAGATGTCCTTTCCAGTCGATCGGCACTTGTTCCTCCTCCCAAATCTTTTTGAATAGAAGGTGAAGCATGTTCGTAGTTACTTCAATGTCTGACTTCAGTGCTCCAGCTGGTATATTGTCGGGTCCTGCTGCTTTGCCGCTCTTGATTTGTCTGATGGCCATTCTGATTTCTTCCATCGTTGGTGGATTGACATCTATAGGAAGATCGGTGTGTGCTGCTTCGATGTTCGGTGGATTCATTGTAACCGGCCTATTCAGGAGTTCCTCGAAGTATTCTACCCATCTGTTCCGCTGTTGTTGAATTTCAGTGATTGGCCTACCTTCTTTGTTCTTGACCGGTCTCTGGTTTACTGTATTTCCCTGCTAGTTTCTTCGTTGTATCGTAAAGTTGTTTCATATTTCCTTCCCTTACAGCTTTTTCCGCCGTCGTTCCTAGTTCTTCCACGTATTTCTTTTCGGTTCTTATGCTCCTCTTCACTTGTTTGTTTGCTTCTATGTATTTAGCTTGTACTTGGACTTTCTCTGTTCGTGTTCGACTGTTGTTAATTGCTGTCTTCTTGTTCTTCCCTTCTTTGATCTTGCTCAGAGTTTCTATAGAGATGCATTCCTTATGATGGTGCTTCTTTAGACCCAGAACCTCTTGACACATTGAAGTTAATGCTTCCTCCATAGTCGTTTCTTCTTCCTTCAGTAGATCATGTAAGGCTTGGAACCTGTTGTTTAGAGCTATCTTGAATTCATTGATTTTGTTAGTATCTCGAGGGAAGGCTGTATTGAACCTTTGTAATGCTGTTTGTCCAGTTTTTTTTAGCTAGGTGGTGATCGGAAGCTATACCAGCTCCTCTCCTGGTTCTCACATCTTCCATTGTCCTTCGGAAGTTTTTATTGATGCAGATATGATCTATCTGGTTCTCTAGTGTTGTCAGGTGAGATCCATGTAACTTTGGGTATACGTTTGTGTGGAAATATTGTGCCTCCTATGACCAATTTGTTGAATGCACACAGATGTGCAAATCTTTCCCCATTGTCGTTTCTCTCACCCAGTCCATGTCGTCTCATGATATCTTCATATCCGGTGTTGTCTATTCCAACTTTGGCATTTAGATCTCCCATCAGAATGGTGAGGTTCTTTCTCAGGCACTTCTCTATGATTGACTACAGCCGCTCGTAGAATTGATCTTTAATGTCGTCGTTGCTATCATTGGTGGGTGCGTAACATTGGATAATATTCATTTTGATCCCCTCCTTCTTTGTTTTGAATGATGCTTTGATGATTCTGGATCCGTGAGATTCCTATCCTACAAGTGCATTTCGTGCTACCTTGGACAGCATTAGAGCAATTCCCTGAGTGTGTGGAGCATTTTCCTCTTCATGACTGGAGTATAGTAACATCTCTCCTGTATTTAGCCTTTGTTGTCCAGCTTGGGTCCAATGGGTTTCGCTGATTCCCAGTACTGCCAAATTGTATCTCCTCATTTCCGTTGCTGTTTGACTGGTCTTCCCTGTCTCCCACATTGTTCGGACGTTCCATGTACCTACAAAAATGTTTGCTCTGGTTGTTAGAAGGGGCATCGGCCTCGTGGCTTCCGAAGGAACTCGGCTTTCATAATGAAGCGTCATAATTCTTCTAAATGAAGACCTTCTAACTTTCAGGGCAGAGTTTAAATGGTTTGAATTTTTTTTCTGGTAGGCGTTTTTTAGCGAGTTACTTTTCTACGGGATGGGGACGCTAACCCCATGCCCAACCCTTCTCCTTTACCCGGGCTTGCGACCGGCAGTTTCTCTGGAAGAGCTATAGGCGGAGTTAATAATTTCTCAGAAAGAGACAATTAATATTCATGGTTGGGTTATTTTGTAAATAGTAATTCTTGATACAAAATAGTTGTTTATTTTCGCTTTATAAACGGTTTCGTTAATAAAACATTAGTTTTCAATAGGGTGATTTTGCTAGTCCATTAAAAGCGTTAATTGTTTTTACTTGTACATTCTTTTTAGTTTAGCAGCTTATAATTATGGCAATAAATACTTGTGTGTGTAAGCAGTCATGTAAATCGTTTATTGGGCTTGAGAAGTGCGGGTTAGGTTTTTTTCCTGTTATGTCAATAGCAAATATTTCCTAAGTGTTCAGTCTAGCCAAATTAACACATGAATGACTAATATCGAGTGCTGCTGTCCCAGATATCAGGAGTGGTCGCACTGTTTCAAACTCAGCCTCCGTTAACCTGTGCACCTAAGAATTACTGTCGTACCTCAGGAAATTTTAAAAAATGGCCGGTTGTTTAGTCATATTCTGGTTTGTATAATAAGCTAGGGAGAAAAAATAAATGTTAGCATTTTACAATCTTTGATCTAAGTGGAATAACGTCCTCAAAACTAGCTTCCGTTGTTTATCACGACTTCTTTGTTTCTCTGCTCGCATCAGTATACGGTTGTCAAACAAAAATATTGCTAGACGATTTGCATCAATCAAATACTAGGTTTTCAATTAAATAAACGTTCCAAAATAATAAAAAAAATAATGATTAGTGTGATTTCGGAAATTCAGAACGAGGAGGATAATATACCACTGTGTCTAGTATATAAATCAGCCAAAATATTAAAATAGAAGTATTAGGGTAAATGTTTTTTGTAAAGCTTTATATTTTCTCATTGTTGCTTATTATTACGGCATTTGACCGGTGGACAACGCGGTAGTGTAGTAAAAGCAGGAATGATAAACATTGGTTTGGATCTCCAGAATGAACTTCGTAACTGGAAGACAGGTCACCCAGTAAACAAGTCTCAAATAGATTGAAAAGTAATTTTACTGCTGGCCACTATGCAACTTTATCTAAGGATAAGTAAAGTGAATAATCTGTGTAAATCTTTTATTATTCATCCGAATATTCGAGCTATTTAGATGCTTGAATAAAGCTGACTACTTTTTAATAATAAGCAGTCTGACTTGAAGCAAAAAAGGCAGTTTTTTTACATAGCATTGATGTATATCGATTTATCAGGCTTTTAATCAATACAAATCTCATTATTTAGAGAAATATTAGTCAATTTCAAGCATATCGTTGCTGACAATTTCCTGGGCCAACAGACACTGTTACAGAACATAAGAATAACTAAACGAGGTGAAGATATTTATTAGAATTCCAAAAATTCAAAGTGTGTTATGAGGCAAGAAAATATCGATCAACATCTATTGTTATTGTATAGACCAAAATACAGACTTGATCACGGAAGTTTCAAGCTTTTTCGTCCAGTTCAGTTTCAGAAATTGGTTTTAGTGTATTCACCAGATCGTATATTGACAGAACCAATCACATTATGTAGCTGGATACATGATATCATTGTACGCACAGTTTAGTAATGTTGAGAATAAGACTGTCATCACCAATAATTCAGATAGTTGCTGTTCTATATCGTGAAATGATTGAATTTCAAAATAAGAATCTCCAAGTTCCGAATCAGTGGTCTAAAATTAACACTTGTGTGCATGCTACTCAGGAATCTCACACTACCTACAAAACAGTTATCCAATCCTTTCTGCTTTTAATAATACCTTAATTTATGTTAATCTATGATGAATATCACATAATATGTAAACAACTACTTATATAATTGAATCTAAAATATTGACATTTGTCTATTTCGTTTTCTCACTTGATTTATTTTGTACCAAAGCTCCTAATCCACCTATCAACGTTACGTTTATTGAAACTGGATCAACACAGTTCCGTGTTGTATGGATGCCTCCTGAGGAGAATTTAGCTTTCAACATCAATTGTTACTTGGTATATATCCGTCCAACGTTTACTGTATTTAGCCATTTTCAAAAATTCAATATTTGTTATTCTAACGTGTGTGACATCAAATCGTTATTACCGGGAGTAAACTATACAGTTTATGTTGAGTCGTTTGATTTAACATACGGACTTCGAAGTTTGCCTTCAAATTATATTACCGCTGTAACCTATCCAGATAGTAAGTTGTCATTTAGGCCATCACACATATTTTATTGTTTTAATATACATTTGTTTTATCCTAGAAAAGTAGGTCGGTTGATAAATAAACTAAAGTTTAAAGACTAAGCTCTGCGTTATCACTTTTACTCAAGAAAAGCAAAATGTATATTTGCATGATATTGTTGAAAAAATCCGTTACCAGCTGCATCCATGCAAACATCCAGTGACCTAGTGTTCGAACTTGCAAATCCGAAATCGGTTCCCCCTAACTCGCTTTAGACAACTGATTAGTGCTATTTACCCCCATGCTAAACAAACCTAAGGTCCGAAGGCGAAGTAGTACTGCTGGCTGTACAGAGGTGTGACAGCAGTAAGGTGTTTCCTTCAGACAACCAGTGTGACAGCGATGCTGCCTTCCCACAAGGAGGGGTGGGGTTAGAAAAGGTCGATTCTAAAAACGCACACCTCGCCTTATCCCACGGATATCCGTCTCCGGCAGTAAGGTTTCAACAAGTACGGAGCTAACACAAAAATTACCCATAACAAGGTCTTGTGTGACCGACCTCAAGCAGTTGTCTCTTGGGCACTGCGGTCACGCTGTCAGGTCACTAAGACCACCCCTAATGTAATTTCCTTTTCAGGCACCTCCGGAAGAACCCTTCCATGGTGTGGGCAACCGAAAAGTGATAACCGCGCTCATACCTCTAACAACACTCAGGACCACTGTATTCATAATCAACCTCCCTCTTCAATTCCTATTATTCCTCCTACATCGACTTTCACCTCTAAACTTCCTCTTTTGGCTTCCTCCTCAAGTGTTACCATAGCCAACGATTCTAGCGCGCAAAAAACTGTCCCTGATCTAGTGAAACCTCGCACCAAACTACACATTGGAGCCTTCAACGTACACACCTTATGTCAGATCGACCAGCAAGCCTCCTTGGTTAAAACCCTAATCTCGTACCATTGATGTGTGCTGTGTCCCCGAAACACACATACAGGATCCTAGTGTGGTTATTCACTTAACCTCACCACGCCAAAACGGTAAGCCAACGAGATACACCCTCCGTGTATCTGGTGACCCGATGGCTAATTCTCGTGGACTGGCAGGTGTAGACATAGCACTAAGTGCGAGGGCGGGACAAGCACTATTAGAGTGGATTTCCGTTAACAGTCATCTATGTGCTGTTCGGCTAAACGGCTACGTCAGAACTCGGAAGGATAGGGACACACGTCGTTGCCTTTTTATCGTTTCTGCCTACGCTCCCACCAACTGCAGCTCAGATGAAGTGAAAGATGAATTTTACAGAAAGCTATCTGAACTTCTTCAGAAAGCTACACGTTCAGACATAGTACTCGTAGCAGGTGACTTTAATGCCCAGATAGGTAGCTTAAACCAAACAGAAAGGCATTTAAGTGTGTATTATAGTATCCCAGCTCAGCGAACAGATAATGTTGATCGTCTGTTGCAACTATGCTCAGACAATCGTTTATTTTTAGCAAGCACTAATTTTAAACGTAAGGAGAGACATCGTCTAACATGGCGACCCCCTGCATCAAACCAACGATGAACTCAAGTAGACCATATTGCCATCAATCATCGTTGGAGAGGGTCGATCGAAGATTGTCGCCTATTCTGGAGTACGTGCTTGGACTCCGACCATGCTCTAATACGGACACGCATCTGCTTGAACCTTACTGGACGCAGAAAAGCCACACTAAGAAGACCCATTAGAATTGAACTGAGTGACGAGATAGCCGAAAGCAGATTCCAGGAACAACTGAGGTCACACTTAGGTAGTTCTGAAAACGAGGCTGATTCAGGTATGCTTGGAAAGATATACAAACAGGGTTACCAAAAACCGATTGATTTTTTCTAATCTATTTCACTGATGGATCCTTGTCAACTCATTCCATCAGGCTCCGAACATGATGAAGAGCGAAAACAAATCAGATCTAGGTTAAGAAAAAGTCTAAGGAACGACAGTGAGCAGTGGTAGGCAACGAAAGCAAGAGATGGAAAAGGTGGCGGCTGTAGGTAAAACAAGACAGATCTTCAGACTAAAAAAAGAAATTGGAATTATTAAGTCAAGTGTAAGTGAAACTATCTCGTTAAAAGACGACACTCTTATCTGCTCCCAGTCCAGACGTTTAAAACGATGGGTGGAGCATTCCAGAGAACAGTTCAGCTGGCCTTCAGCTACTTTACAACTACCCTTCATTCCCAGACAGTGTGAATGGAACATTGAAGTAGGTCCCCCAACTCTAGCATAAGTTCGAAAGGCTATAGTTAATCTGGAACGAGTAAGAGCAGCTGGTCCAGATGGATTGGTTCCAGAGGTCTTTAAGGATTGTGGTCCAATTTTAGCGATTAGGTTGACTAATATTTCAGCTAAGATCTGGGAGTTAGACGTTATCCCATCTGACTGGTCACAATCACTTATCGTCCCAATATATAAGATTAGTTTAACTAATACAGTATCTAAAATACTGGCCTCGATAATTATCGGACGCTTAACTAAGAATCGTGAACTGCAAACACAAGAGAATCAAGTTGGCTTCAGACCTGGTCGTGGCTGCATCGACCACATATTCACCATTCGTCAGGTTCTAGAACATAGGCCTACTTATTGGCGTTGGACAATGGTGGTCTTTCTTGACTTAAAGGCAGCATTTGACTCGGTAGACCGCGAGATTCTGTGGCAGTGTCTGTCATTGAAAGGTGTACCTCAGAAGTACATAAACCTTGTGAAGGCTCTTTACTCGAACGCTACCAGTAGAGTCAGAGATTATGGCGAACTGTCATCTGTTTTTGCAACCTCAAGTGGTGTCCGACAAGGCTGTTCACTTTCTCCATTTTTGTTCAACTTCATCATAGACCTACTGACTGACCAGAGTACAACCGTAAAGATGATATCTGAAATTACAGAAGACTGTAAATTCCAAGTGTTTAAACCGAATAGTTAATTATGGTAAAAAGAGATGATTAGCCCGGATTTTTATGTAATAGTGCTTTCAGTGTATTACGATGTCTAACTTTTCATTCTTTATTTAGCCTTGTACTGTTTTTCATTTTATACTGTATATTTATTGACAGTTTAAAACTGATTCGATGATTTTGAGACAACTGACAGTAAATCTAGGTTTTCAGACCATCACTTTCAATGTGAATCTCAATCCTTTAGTAACTTAATACATTTTAAGCCCCAGCTTACTTTCTTATAATTTCTTAACTAAAAGATTGTACTATTGTAAGTTATACGCTCGAATTTACAAACTCATCATTCATCATTATGTAATTCGTTACTAACAACGTATTTTCAATGTTAGTTTTGACCCTTCTCCCTTGTCAAGTGTTTACAGCCTCAACTGACCTAGGTAATATGATGTTACCACGAATTTCATAATTATGTGATGTATTAATGCAAAACATTCCGAACATTCTGATCGCACAATTGTTAAGGTATTTTTAATAGTTGAGATCATAAGTCAATTGAAGCAAGATCTCTATGAAAAACATGGAAGCACTGGACAGCCAATGGGTCCTGGGTTAGAATTTCGCGAGGTGGGATAGTGATTGCGCACTGCTGAGGAGTCCCACGATCGGACGAAACGGACATCCAGTGCTTCCAGGTTTCCTATGGTGGTCTAGCTTCAATTGACACATGATCTCAACTATTCAGATTACTATAATATCCACAAAACCCCTTCTGTTAAGTTATTTGTTTACGAAAAATTAAATGTCTGCTCAGATTGTTCGAAATGTGTTGCGCTGTTATCACAAAGTTTTGGCAAACATTGTTCCCTCATTTAGTTGTCTAGATTTGTGAAATTAACTGCTTTGTATTCAAATGATCTATTAAATTCCATCATTATATTTTCATAATATCTTGATTATTTCAAGTTGCAATATTTTACTGTGGATTGCAAAATAATGAATTGTAACATACATAATTAATCCTGTAGAGCATTTAAACTAACAGATTTAAAAATTCCTTAAATTTTATATTGTACTGACTGAGTTAAAAACGAATAAGAAATATAAATCATACAAACGCTTTAGACAATACATTAACATAATACTATGAAAATGTTATCCTGATGACATTAAAATAACTCAGTTGTAATACTTGTGACTTAACGGCCATATTGAGGCAGTCTGCACTAGATGCACATGTGCCAAACACAGACTAACCATTTGCGGTCCTAAAAATCTATCAAATTAGTAACAACAGACACTTTTGTGAATTGGCAATATCATTTTGTCAGTGATAATATACTAATAATAATCTCTAATTGTATCAAATGATCACTTACTACTTATATAACATTGGTGTGAAAACTACTTTAAAATGGAACTGTTCCCAACTTGTTTCAACGGATTTGTTAGTATTGATTAAAATACTTTATTTTTGCCATTTGAAGGACCTATTAAGCCAGAAAATGTAACAGTGACCAACATCAAACCAAATCAATTCACTATTAGATGGAACGAAATAAAACAAGATTTAACGTTCACTAACATTTGTTATTCACTTTATGTGCGACCAACTTTAAATATTAATGATAATTTTAATCAGTTCAATGTTTGCAATGGGAAAAGCGAATTTACTGTCACTTTCTTATTACCTAGAACAAATTATACGGTATATCTTAAGTCGTTTGATACTAATTATGGTATATACAGTGATGCAACGAAATCTTTTCTAATCTATACAACATATCCAGCATGTAAGTTTACCAATACTTAGTAGGTTTTCTTAATCCATTTTATAAAATGTAATCACATTTTTCCTCAGAAAACGTATTCCTTAAACAAAATTAACTTAAGGCATTAGTTCATATTTCAGGTCCATGTTCAAGAAGCGTCTTGTTAATCAGTAATCTTTTTATTAGTAAATTTGTAAACGTTTGGTAATGCTCGACATTTCTTGAATTGATTGTGATAAGTCTTCTTTGCCAACATCCAGTGTATTATATCCGAACGAAGAATAAGAGAATGGTAACTGCTAATATCTATTTATGGAATTACATATATATATATATATATATATATATATATATATATATATATATATATATATATATATATATATATATATATATATATATATATATATATATATATATATATAAAAGTCATAAAGATATAATACAGTAGAAATGGGAACGGACGCTTTGATAATCTAATCACAGTGGGCTTGCATTAAGAAATAACTTGGATTATAGATCGTAATGATTATAAATTGCAGCGTATTTTCTCTACATTCATATTCCATAAAATTATTATAAATACAGCGAAAATCATGATGAAAATCGCTTTTAAAATGAACAAAGACCTTCACAAATCCTTTTCATTAAATAATGGTCATTTGCACACTGATGACTACATACAAATTACACTTTTTGAAATGCCAGAAAACCATGAAAACGTAAGAGCATCTCAAAATGTTGTTGTCACCCTTATTTTTTACTATGGGAATGGCTCTAGAACCATCGTAAACGTTTTCATTAGTGTTTTTATGAGCAACGGTAAAAATTTAAGTGATATTCGTTCAGAAGTTACGTATATGACTAGCAACTTCACTTAATTTGTTTATCTCTTTCTCTTGCTTTAAAACGATGATTTATGTGTTGTAGTTAGTTTTTTGTAATTAACATATCAACATTTCAGGTACTCTGCCACCAGTCAATTTAACATTTTCTGAAATTAATATTTATGGATTTACTGTACATTGGGATCATGCATTAGAAAAGCATTCATTCGATAATAACAACTATTATTATGTATTCATAAAGGCTTTGCACAATCATACAAACCAATCAATGAAATTCAATGCTGGTCAATCAGCCACAAGTTTACATATTTTTAGTCTTTCACCGGATACATGGTATAGTGTATCTGTACAATGCATAGATACCACATACCATAATAGTATCGAATCAGAAGAGGTTTTTGTACATACATATTCCGAGAGTAAGTGATAATACTGACTTATAAATTGAAGCAGTTTTTTTATTTTATTGTATACCAAAATATTCTGACAGACGTCATTAATAGTTCAAATAAAGATGAGTATTTTCCCAATAATAAAAGGGATTTGTAATTGTCAAAGATATATGTGATCCACGTAATTATAGTACCTATGTCTAGCATAGAAATACATGTCGGTGATTGAAAAAGTACATATAAATTAAAAGTCTAGACAACTTTCAAAAATTGACCTGTCTGAAGGTGTTTTTCACCATAAAATAACATTAATTAAATGATAAGCTAAAATTGAAGACTGGACAGTTGATCTTTATCTAACTTTGGGATATTTAGATATAAATTCCAGACTCAAAACAAACTTGCTGTTAAGTGTAGTCAACGTACAAGCATTCAACCAGTTAATTTGGATCTGAAAAGCACAAGTAATAACACTGTTCTGGTCAAGAAGAGACCAACCGTCATCCTTGTGTTAAATCATTTCTACAATTTTCACGCCTTCACTGTAGCGTTTAATCCACTTCAAAATGTTCTACTTATTATTAGTACTCAACATTTCATAAATTTTCTTCAAAAATTTCGTAGTACTTCGGTTAGCGTATTTACTTGATGTTCTTTAAAGTTTGTTCCTAATGATCTGGTTAGATAAATATCTTGTTCGTGATTTGACGATATTTAAACTTTACACACTATTACTTATTCCATTTACCTTTAACTATTTTGTCAAATAAATAGCTGTTGAACGTGACAGTCTTAATCAGCTGACGAGTCTGATCCTACAAGTTCCACCAGAACAACAAATAACTCATATTCAACAAGACAATATGATTAGTTTGTATTTACCGTTATCTCGGTTAAATTGTTTCATTTCAACAGTTTATGTGGTTTCACTTGTAATAAAACCAACTAGGGAAAATCATGATGAAATTATTTGTTCTGAAGGTTGTACAAAGAAAATGCACTACAATGACATTACGGATATTTATTTAGTTGAGTCGGTAAGTCGAGTGTGATTTTTTAGTTTTTTTATTTATTCATGATATGCAGTACCCTTGTGGCAATGATGAATTAACATTACGGATCGACAATAAATGAAACAATATTATGAAATAAGCACAATTCAAGATATTGGATTTAAGATCAAACCTAATATGTTTAATGTGTAGTGCCAATTAGTTATGTCATAATGATTGGATGTTAGTGTTCAGTCATTAAACTCAAATTCGGTGTCATTTGACAGTGATTTTTATCACTAAGTGACATCGGTTTTAGGATCTTTAGAAACACTGAAAGCTCCCTTCGCCATAGTTTAGAACTTTAGCTATATCATTTAGCGTAATGTTACTTATCCCTCCAGTTTGAATCTGATTGACTCACACTTCTCGACTTCAAGCTATTTGTGATATTCCCATCCAATACTTTTTGAAGTAATGTTTCACTCCTGAAACCCATGAGGAGGCTTGAAGTAGTGCCTCTGCAGGTGGTGATGGTGTTCCAGCCACTTAAAGTTGGTAGAGTCTATTCTGGGGAAGCCGGTGTGGCTTTTCTGTTATTAGCTTCTGTGTTTCAAGGCTCACAAACCCACTGTGTGGATGTGATTGCGTGGGGAGATCGATACCACCCGGCTTGTTACGCGGGCGTAGTATCGTTACCAAGTATAGTTTACAGACATACCGATAACACAAGTTTTCACTCATACATCCCGTATGGGTTTATTTATTCACCTGGGGAATAGATGGTCACAGCTCTCTTCAAACGTATTTGCTACTGATTGTTTCTTACGCGCTACATGCGTATAATCGGTACAAAGACTTTCACCTTCGCACTTCATGACAAACATATAGCATGAGCACTCTCTGGGTAGGTTGGTAGTCATCTGTCCCTAGTATCTGCTCCCGTATATTTTTATGATGTCTTCTACCTGTTTTGTTAGGTTGCTGATTGTATTAGGCATAGGGCATATAATTTTCCAGCTTACGTTCCTTGTGCTAACCCTCACACATGCCTTTGGTATATACCTACATACACAAATTACACAATCTCAGACTCATGCAATTCATATACATAATCATGCACTTCAAGAGGCCGCCAGATTTAGTGGACCCCCAAATTTAGACTGAAATAGTCCAGTTTACAACAGAGTGGTAAATTAGTCCAATGTCCACCGACTGTCCATATTAGCGGTCAAAGATGCCCTCACTACCCCGGAGTGCTACTTGGTGGCTTTGAGTCAGATTTCGCTACTGTTTCTGAAGGGTACTTTACTAAAGTAATTTCGATGCCCCGTGTTCCTTTTCAAAGGTTTTCTAACAACTGTCAGTTTGTTATGAAAATCATCGTCAAAATAAAAAAATTCTCTACAAACGTATTTAACATAATACTTAATTTTCATAATATTTTTGTTAACTAAGGATCAGTGAATATTGATTTTAATGATAGACGCTATCCTACCACTGACATACTTCTCTATTTAATTGGGTGAAATTCAAATGACGCATTTTAATATATATATTCTTGAAAGAATCACAGAATTCATGGCGATTTACAAACATGACCATTTTCAGATAAATAACAATGCTAAAAGTAAAGAATCGATATATTATGTCAGATTGTTTAGTGTCCTAGTTCAGAAATTGTTTAGGTAGTACATTTTTCTTGTGGATTACAACTATACCGGCCAATAGTCAAGGATCATTCATTCTTTTCGAGTAGACGTCCTGTTGAAGAATGAACAATGTACTTATGGTCATTTTTAGTGTCATTACGAAGTAGTTATAATCTTCAACTCGATAAAATAAAACGGAAACAGGAAGCAGAGGAAAACGATAGTAATAATCACTGTAATAAATCTGCCGTTAGACATGTGCTGGAGCGTTATATGATATAACGATTTGGTTAGATTTTATATAAATTAGTTGAGTTTATCAGGTACTGTGTGCTTATTATTTATTTATTTAAACCCATAAACATTTGTACAAGGAGGCACAAAATATATATGCGCCGCACTTCATTATTCGATTCGTGTGAGGGTGTATCATTTGCTGTTTTTATAAAAAATTATTCGGCGCACTTGACGGATCTTGTAAAGTTCTTCTTGTTTACTCAAATAACTACAAACACTTCGACTTCGCATTTTGTGATTCATTTCTGTGCTTTGTACTGTTCAAATAATATTTACTGGATAATTGGTTGATCACGGGCCATTAAAAAATAGTTTATTTATATCTTGATTAGTTTGGGTGGTCTTTTGAATACGTTTACTACGAGAACCATGTTGACTCTGAGTGATTGTAAAGATTTGAATTCTGTATACTAAGTCTCCGTTCCGTTTGTAATTTATGAAAAAAAGCGTATTTTTAGTTTGAGATTGTTGTAGATAACCGTCAAGAAACCAGAGGTTAAAGTTTCTTGCTAGTGGCACCGGTTATATTGTGGTAATGAAAGCTTTACGCTCATCACAAACTGTACACATGTTTTATAAGCGTTCTTGGTGTTTTTGGAAACGAGTTAATAATAATAACAACTGTTACATTTACCTATCTGAGCCAAATATTTGGTTTGATAGGATTGGAAAAATATGTGATTCTGCATGAGATATGAATAGAAAAAACAGATCTCATTCCTAATCAGTTTTTATTGGCGCTTTATAGCATATTACTAAGTATTTTGACAGCCTGCAGACACTAGTTTATCATAATGTATGATAATTCATTGGTAAATCACTAATGACGCCTAATCCTACATCAACTTTCAATCAAAAATAATTTTAAAACTTAGTTGAAGTGTTTATGCATTGTTAAGGATGTTTTAATTGATGCATTGTTTGTATTTAACCGCTCAATAAAAAAAGACATATAAAAATCGCCATAATAAAGAAAATGGATCATGGGAAATACTTATACATTCACGGTTGGAATTAAGTCAGACGCGTACACGACGTTCAACGGCTTACCGAATGAATGAAAGTTATCTATATTCCGATAAATATTTCATAATCGGTGAAAATGGTGTTTGTCCATATAATTCGCATGAATGCAATGGACCACTTGAACCCGCTACACAGTACAGGTTAGTTTATTGTTTTATTGTTGAAAATGTTACATGACACTACTATGAATCAGTCATTAGCAAAAATGCATACTCTACAAGTCACCGTCTGGTGTTTCTATGTTATCGTGGTACTTAATGAAATCGTTAGAAATAAGCAGCAATTTCAATCTACTTATTGAAACTTCAGTTTTTGCAGTTGAAACACTTGTTAAAACCCATTATATGGCAAATCACTGTACCAACTAGTGGAAAGATAGTATTATCAGGGAGATGATTTCTTGGTGAATAACAACTGGGATCCAATTTTTGTGTAGAAATTTTTCGTTTATAAAGTCTACTAACAGATTAAGGTTGAACTGCATCACTTCTAGTAACCGAACTTATTATCGATTTGCTATCTGAAACACAACTTCATCATTGATTTAATACTCAGAGTAATGACGAAATTAACGGATGGCCGTCTGTAACCCCGATAAATCTACAATATCACGACAATTCCTCATACTGTGAAGCAACTGCTTACTAATTTACACGGAGTCGTATATGAGTGATTTTCGGTTTCAGTCAGAAGCAATAGCATTTAGTTTAACAAATTTCAGATTTAATAAGACCCAAACGTGCATAATTTACCCAAAAGGTCTGCCCTTCAGAATGCAAACTGGTAATGAGGACACACTAAATATCAAATTTATGTTATAACGGCGGTGTCCGAAATCTGATACTAATACACGATGTACTATTTGCTAACCCCTCAACTGATTGCATGAACGAGAAAGAATATTGGGCTACCGAATAAATAGCATAAATACTCATTTACATATATACAACCCTACCCCTTGGGAAATCAGTCCGTTTTTCCTAACCAATGATGCACTTGCCCATCAGGTCATTTCTGACTGCCATCGAATGACCTCATTGAGCTACTTCTAATTGGCTGACCATACCACCTCTCCCTCCTGGAAAATTAGTCTTGCTTTTTTAATTTTGCTGAAGGCGTTGATGACAACGTCGTTTTCTTGGTGATCTGCTTGGGGTCTGACCATCAATTCTTCCGCGCTGATCCTGATGTTCCAAACTGACTGTATCAGTTAAATAATCTGGTGGCAAAATGGAACTAGGGGATTTTTTATCCGAATTTAGTCACCTATCGCGGATGTGGTTAACGTGTTGCGTCTGGCATTTACCTTGAACATCATTTTTGTACATCACATTACCAACTTTTCTAACGATGACACCCGCTACTCACGCAGGCTCCCGTTATCAAAAGTTCCTTAAATACACTGGTAACCCATTATGACCAATTCTCTTCGCCTTGGGTTTATAATCTCTTCTTTTTTGTGGATACATGCTATCAAATGAAGTCCAGATCTTGCTTCCGAACATCAACTCACTAAGGGAGGCAACGTTGGGGGAGACTGGATTCGGAGTTATTCTGTACACTCTCAGGAAACTCTGGATGACCTTCTCCGTCGTGCCCTCCCCTTGTGGCATGATGAGATCTCACTTGAAGGTATCGCCAAAACGCTCAGCTTGGCCGTTTGGCTGAGGATAGTAGGGTGGTGACAGAATGTGTGTAATTGCGTTCTTTAATCAGAAGTTCGATAAGATTTCCGACGTGATCTGAGATTCATTGCTTGTAACCAGTGTCTCTGGTGAACCATATTGCCCGATAAGTCTATTCAGCGTCTTTATGGTTGGAGTTGATGAGGTCTCAGGCATCAAATAAATCACTGGTCATTTTGTAAATGAGTCGTTGATAATATGAAGGCGTTGACCGTTTATTGACTCAATAAAATCAGCATAAACACAGAACCATGGAAATCCTGCACTTAGCCATAGAAATGGCTATATTTTCGGTGACAGTTTTGCGGCTTATGCTCATCGTGGACATTTCTTTACGATACCTTGAATGTCCTTATCCATCAATGGTCAATATACATAGCTGCGTGCTAGTGACGTCACACGCTGAACCTGAGTGTTGCTATTTCAGTACTCCGGTTCTGAGTGTGGTTTGAATCATTAGATGTTCCTCAGACAATAGACACTAATTGGCAACAGTCAACGCGCCACTTCATCGGAAATACTCTATTAAAGCATCTCATGCACATAGTTCTCTTTATCATTTCGAAGAGAGCAAGAACAAAGATCCAAACAGAATAACATGAATTCATTTTGTTTCGTCTGGTCTTCGTCAGCTCCTCACACCTATGATATTTAAAAATACTACAAAATGGGTTTAAACTACTTATATGAAAGAGTTTAGTTGAAAGTTATGTTGAAGACATATCAGTATAGCATATCAAGGGTGTAAATAAATTCAATAGACCGAATATTGTAAATATATACGTTATGTAAAAGAACATTCTACAACATTGATTAAAATAAGAATTCAAACGGCCAGAAACAAGTGATCACCTAATTAGTAAATGCTGACAAGAATGAGTAAAGATCAGTTAATAAAATAAGGTTGCTAATCTGGAAGACATTCAAAATAAAAACTTAATGATGCAATAAATTCAAGAAAGGTGTTACGTCCTTGATCTGTCTACCCATTTTGTGCAGAGGATAACTTGTCTAATCTAGATTAAGACCTTGACGCGATAGGTTGACTGGCTTAAACTTGAGGTTAGTATGCGTGAGTTCGAAATGGGTGAGAGAGACGAAAACTATCCTATCACTTGATTGATTGGCTGACAAGCACGCGAGTGAGAGAAGACAAGTCAACTGGAACACTACTCAATTTATTCTCGATTTCTATCTAGTTCTCAATTTCAGATCAGTGTAAAAAGAGGACATGAATAAATAGATGACTAACCCGACCACAACGTACAATAATTAGGAAAATACAATCACGTCCAAAACTGGGGATTAGCGTAGAAAAATAGAGTACAAAATAATACGTTTAAATTACAATAGCTTAGAATAAAAAGGACTATGGCAGTGAATCATACATCAAACGAAAGTTTATGATTTGTAGAATAGACTAGAAACAAAAATGTTATTGTTTTACAAACTTTAAATTACATGGAATAACGTTCCGAAAAATAGCTTTCGTAGTTTGTTAAGGCTTCTTGTTTCTCTGTTCACATCAATAGGGTTTTTAAAAAAAATGTTTTAAGATGCAACAAACGAATATTTGTTACTAAGACAAGGAAAACGTAATAACTACTTCATTTTGGACACAAATCAAGTATTTGACGCCTGATAGCAACTACTTTTTTATAAAGTAGAAGGGATATGTACCATCGACAAATCGGACGAAGAATTGATGAACGTTGTAAAATGCCTAAGAAGTAATTGCTACCCACAGACATTTATTGACAAATGTAAAAAACTGTTATATATGAATCTCAACTTCAAATGTGATGACGTCACAAGCACAATCAGCAGGAGGTTTAACATTGCATTAGTCAAAACTTGCTCGGCAGCCAAACTACGTATTCTTTATAAAACAATATGTTGAGTAACCCAGACAAATATCAACAAGCATACCCTTCATATTACCGCCAATCGTGTTTCTAAATTTACGTCCACCTGCCAAGGCAGCTACATTGGCTGAACAGAAAGGAGGGCATATCTTAGATCTTTTGAGTATGTTCCAAAAAGCCTTAGAAGAAGAGAAAGAAATTAAATAAAACCAGAACAGACGGATTCATAATAATATGAATTCATTATATGTCATGCTTTCTTATCAGCTGCTTACAACCATATATGTATTGAAAGCTTACAATGAGGTCAGATATAGTGCGAAACAATTGACATAGATGAATAAAAAGAATTGGAATGACAATGGTTATCAATAATAACTATATATTTACGTTCAGGAACAGGTCGGGCATTTGGTATTGAAATCAAAAAACATGGGGGGCGGGTGATGCTTTAATTAAGTAAGGTTCAGAGACAAAATTAATTGTGTGATAATTTTAGAGGTAATGAAGGGTTTACATAAGTTTCCTGGAATTAGAAAGATTAGTAAAGTGGGTTACGTAACAATTAATAGGATTTAAGCACAGTACATAGGTGAAGTGAATTGAGTAAATAAAGATGTATGAGCGAAGAGGTAGTTTTAATGTACATAAAACGAGAATTCGGTAAGTGAAGACCATATAACAAAATAAACACTAACAAAATAATGATAATGATGGAAATGATTTACCAGGGTAGTATATACATAAATCAGGTCTAAGTTTTATTTATCGCAATTGCTTCAGCAAAACGAAGAGACGCTGTGCTTCTTTGTCTGCTTATAATTTTGAAGAATTGAGGAATATCAATGGTATGCTCGGTGTCAGGTAAATTCAGGGCTATTACACTGTTAACAGCTGTCGCACCTCTCAGTTTCACGTTTTTTGAAACATGCTCGGAAATGCGAACATGTACTCTTCTCTCTGTACTTCCAATGTATGTGCTTTGGCACGTTTATGTTAGTTGATAAATGGATTTAGAAGTATTGAAAAAGGAGGACCTGTCAGTTTTTGTTTGTTTGAGCAAGCAGTTCGTTTCACATAACGTCAGTCAGTCGCGGTCAAAAAGGGTTCGTACAATTAGCTTTTTGTAACTTATTGGACATAGACTGTTGTAATTCAGATAAACTCCAGGTATTTTTTGCGGTGAATCTGTCTTTGTAATTTGATGTTTGAAGTTCGTATGACTTCAATATCTGAGAAACGGAATTTACTTCATGTTCCATAGTAAAATGTATATCTTTATGTGCTTTGTTAAATTGATTGAGTAGATTAATAGAATGCTTATAATTATGACAGACAAGAAATTTGTCATCAGTATATCTGTAGTAGGGTGTAGTTTCATCGATTGCGTGCTTAAGCTTCCTCTGTTCCAGGTTTCTCATAAATATATTAGCCAGAATCGAACCCAGAGAGCTAACCATAGCTACTACATCAATGTGGCGCTACAACACATTGTTGAATTGAAATTGTATGTTTTTGGTACACAGGAACAGGAGCTGTCTGAATACTTGGATTGGAAAAAGCAGGAGTTCAGGATGTTCACACATGATA